CGCGGTCGCGGCAAAACCGCGGATTTTCACCCTGTTCCGTTTCGAATTTGGAAAAACGTAAAACATGAAAGTTGTAGCCCTTTGAGTTAGCTTTCCAACCATATATTGTGGAGCCCAAATGGAGTTCTGAGCAAAAAGTTATGTCTATTTTACTAGACAGTGCGCAATATGCCTCCTCAAGTCTTCGTTCGTACTTAATTATCAAATTTGACCCCCGAACACGATCCCGGCTTAATTCCTTGAGCTTTTACTCAGACTTCAAAGCTTAAAATCACTTAAATTCATTCCATAACATCTATATAGCTCGGAATCACACCTACAAGGCATAAAACACACAATTAGTGCAAAACACTAGCGATTAAAGCGCAAACTCAATTAAAGTGCAGTAAATTCGAGTGTAATAAGCGACTAAAATATGCAATTATAGCCTATCATCAATACCTTTCCTTCAAACCAGTCCACAATTCAAGTGGATTCATCACTGTCAAATATTAAGCTTTCAATCCTTCATCCAGATGATGACGAAGGAAAATCATAGCCTTCACTTTGTCCTTACTTGATGCCTCATTACCAAGAGTAATTGTGTCACCATAACCTTTAGTGTCTAAGTGAATTTCAGCATCGAGAACCTACGATAAATAGTTCTTTCCAGAGATATCAAGTACCACAAATTTAAGTTTTGATAAATTCGACATACTGAAAACTATCAAAGAAAATAACTAAAGTTAGAAATCATAGAAACTATTATTAACAAAAGACTTTATAATTATGAGGCAGTACATACTCATAAGCTAATATCTTATGTCAAAAATCAAAATAAAGCCTTTACATATATTATATTTCATTATGTATCACAGTGAACTAGTGCATGACGTTTACTTAAAATGTATTAGATCCAATTGTGTATGTTTGTATAATCGATTAGCTTAATTAGTAAAGCATTATTTCTGTTGATTATCACGTCTACTTCCACCTTTTATATTGTCCAAAAAACTTAACAGCTGCAAATACTTTTAAAATAAATCAACAATGAATAACAGGCTAGGCAGAAAGAGAAAATGGCAAACAATTAAATATTTATTAGACAGTTGATCATATACAGTTCATGCACCTAACTTGGATTAATATTTTATCTTATGGATGATTCATGTAGTTGTTTATCTTTAGTGATTGTTGTCGAGTTTTTCTAATTTGTTATGGTATGAAATATGGGGTCAAGCAAAATGTTTAACAGGAGAAATTGCTCAATAATATATGCATGAATTATCATAATTCTGCTCCTGCTATATATATGTTAGATAATAGTAGTAAACATGACATGAGAACTTTAATATTATGGCCAACTAAACAAAATACTTAACCATATATGAATATGTTAATACCAAGCATACTGGTGCATATTATTTAGAGGTGTTAATCGGGCCGGGCTGACCCGCTAACAACCGGTTCAGCCCGAGTCAGCCCGGTCCAGCCCGTTACTGTAGATTATAGCGCGGGTTGGGACGGGTTGGGCGGGGGGCGGGCTTGTAACGTCCACTTTTTTTTTAACGGGTAACCGAACCCGCTACAACCCGTTAAGCCCTTAACGGGTTCTAAACGGGCTACAGCCCGTTTCAACCCGTTTACCCGAAATTTTGTTTTTTTTAAAAAAAAAAAAATCTGACCGTTGCCAACGGTCTAATACTAAAAAGGACCGTTGGCTAACGTTTATTTCTGCCCACTTTTTGGCTTTTTATTTATATTTTAGCCCCCCACCCCTTATAATTTCTAAATTGCAATTGTAGCCTTTTAAAAACTATAAATACCCCCTTTCTTCTTCATTATTCCTCACAATTCAATTCATTTTCTCTCTAATTCTCTCTCAATTCTCTCTTGATAATATTCTCAATTACTCATTATTTCAAGCTTTCAACTTTCAAGTTTCATCAAATATTTAGTTTACTCATTATAAAAGTATTATTATCATAAATTTCTAATTCAATTATTCAAGTGAAGTGCGGCATCAATTTCAAGACTTCAAGTTAAATCATGCCCCGTACTTCTAGAGTGCGCTCATATGTTTGGGAACACTTTGAGGTGTTAGAAGAAAATGAAGAAGCTTGAAAATTAAAGTGCAAGAACTGTGGTTTAGTCATAAATCATCGTCCAATGTGTGGCACTGCCTCTTTAAGGAGGCATATCAAGAGTTGTCTTGAACGTACTCCAGAAGTTCGTCTTTTAAGTTGATTTGAGACAATTTGTGTTATTTTAAAATTATTAGACGTATTTATGCTTAATGTTTTAGTTTGTTAGATTAATTTGAATTTTGAAGTATTATTAATTTATTATGCATGAAAATGTAGTTTTACTCTTTTTCGTTAATTTACTTGTTAATGCAAACTTCAATTTTGTAAATAATTTGCCTATTGGTCTTATTAAATAATTTTTTGTAGCCACTTACTTTCTAATTTCAAATTTTCAATTTTATTTATATTTTAGCCACTTAAAAGTTCAATTCTAATCTTTAATTTTAACCCTTAAAAGTTTGCAAACTATTAAGTACTTAACTATCAATAACATTGAAAAAGAAAAATATAACTTAATTTTAAAATATAAATATATATATATATATATAGCCCAACCCCGTTAAGCCCGAACCCGTACGGGCCCTATAGAACCCGAAAAATCCCAGCCCGCCAACAACCCGGCCCGAAACCGAACGGGCTGACATTTTTTGTGTCCAGCCCGTCCGATAAACAGGTATACATATATATAATCCAAAACGACAGGGATTCAGTTGAACAACCTTNTATATATATATATATCCCGACCCGCCCGAGCCCGTTAAGCCCGAACCCGTACGGGCCCTATAGAACCCGAAAAATCCCAGCCCGCCAACAGCCCGTTAACCCCAGCCCGATAACAACCCCGCCCCGAAACCGAACGGGCTGACATTTTTTGTGTCCAGCCCGTCCCAGCCCGCCCGATAAACAGGTATAATATTATTACCATAAACCAAATGGACATAGTGATATACCTGAAGAGGAGAATCAAACACAACTAGAGGTGATTATAAAAATGAAGGTAGAACATCGTGTTGATAACGTGTTATAAAATAAAAGCAATGTAGCAAAGTAAAGTAACAAGAATAGAGATAATATAAGGGATGAGAGAACTCTTTTCTTTCTTTCCCTTATGTGTGCATTTACCCATCAGAATACAAGGCTATTTATAAGCCTAAAAAGTGATTTTACACTCCATAAAAAAGTAAAGGAAATGGGTCTCCATAGCAACATGAACATCCACAAAATTTTTTATTTTGTGCCTCACACAACTGACACTAGTTGTGTGAGGTCTCTTTTTTGTCTCACAACTGTGTGGTCCCAGAATTTTTGTGGACCCAGATGTGTAAGATATGGGTCCACAAATATGTGAGATAAAAAGATATCTCACACAATTAGTGTAAGTTGTGTGAGACTCAAAATAAAATCACTCGAGTCATAACAAAAACCAAGTTCCACATACTATTGGCTAGAAAAAAAGGGTTAAAAATACTGTCTGAGTCATCTTGGTTCTCTAAGTTTGCCAAGAATGAACACTTGGATCTGTGTTACATACTTAACAAACTCTGACTATTAAACTTAATAGATAATTGGAAACAGAATGAAATACTGTATCAAGTTTGAGGGGTTGCCGATGTATTTGGCCTATACAAATTATTGGAATCGATGCTGATTAAATGAGTATCTTTGTTGATACACAAATTCAACAAGGTGAATCTAGTTTCAAAGCATATTAGTAATATTCGCACTGCAGTATGGTTTGTGCTCTATTTGTTATTAGTTGGTATTGGTTCTATCACATGCACTAGCTAGCATGTTTAGCTATTTTTCCAGAGGTAGATTAGTGAATGGGAAAAATGTAAGGTAAGGCTGTGCACAATAGACCTTTGTGGTCCGGCTCTTTCCCGAACCTTGCGCATAGCGGAAATTTAGTCCACCGAGCTGCCCTTCTAGAGGCAGATTACTGTTTGCATCTCCATGCTCTTCATTCTCTTTCTTCCTCCACCTCCGTCTTCTTCTTCATACTGCTTCTTTTTGGCTCAAAGTTTGGTACAAAAACTCTCTTCTTTTTTTCTCCTTTTTTTTTTAGTGTATAATTTATCTCTTCGAAATGAAATTGAAAGAATTAAAAGAGTTTGGCCAACTAAAACGAAATGAATATTGAAAGAACTATGAAGTCATTGTTATGTGGTCAATATGTGATGCCTCTAATCTTTTGTTCGTTCCCTTTGGTTTCAGTATCAGAAGCATTTGACAACTAGTGTAGGAAAAAGGAAGACTCTTCTCAAATTATACTCTCCTCAGATTATTAATATACAACAAATCATTATATGTTATTTAATCTTATAAATTGCTCCGTTCAAGTCTAAAAGCCGTAGTCCAGAGTCCAAACGTGCTAACTTCATCCTTTTGATTTTCCAACATTTGCCTATCCAACAAAACTTATGAACAATTTAAAAGATAGCCATCAGGCAAAAAAAACATTGAACAACACAAATCAACATTTGCTACTTCGACAAGCCTTGTCAACAATTCAAGAAGATGTGTAGAACGACGATAGTACCAAATTATGCCCACAAATCTTGTGAACAATTAAACAACACATGCAAAATTTGAGCAAATCCGGATAGACTTGGTAACATCTTAGTAAGATCGGTAGAATGAAGATTGCAGGCCCAAATCCGGTCTCTCGTCTTACCATAGGAACATTGTTACCGGGTTTGGAACATCACTATAGGAAGATCTGGAACATCATTAGGGGAATCTTCCAGTGTTAAGAAGTGTAATGCACATCAACTTTGTATTGGCTTGAGTTTTTCGCCAAAATGATATTTTATCAAGCAACGATGTCAGCACAAAGAAGCACATAATTCCAATGTGCTACAACGCATATGCAAATCTTAAACTCATTTATTAAATGAATAGGATTCTTTTCTTTTTTAAGTATAAAGTTGGACATTTTACAGAAAACTTCAATTATTGCATCTTTAGAGCAGTATACATAATGGTGCCGCGAAATTACAACACCAACAGTAATGTTGGCTGTCAACTCTAGATATTTTTCATGGGATTAGGTGCAGATTACACTAGATACGACAAAATTTTACAATATTTACGTGATTTCATCTATCTAAATGCTCGCTTTCTACAGTTTCAATCGGAGAATCTTCACTCTCTCTAGGAGAAGACATTTTCTTTTTCAGAGCATAACGGATGACAGAGTTCACCTGTTTTCTCAATTTACCATTATTGACAAGGATATTTGTCAGCACATTTCTCAACTTGTCATCCACAGTCCAGGAGTCACTATTCACATCCACTGTCTCAGCAGTAGAAACTGGGGATTCGGTTCCTTTGTCTGCGTTCACCTGATAAAAAACAAGTCACAAGTACTCATATCAGAAATTGATCAACACTGTACATAAACTTATTTATGCGAAATCTTGAGGTAAAGCTGAGGCCACAGGTTGGAGAATTATAAACAAACCAGAGCAACTTAAAACAAGATGCTGTAGACAGAGATTACAAAATTAGAACTTTAGTCATTCATATATATGAACCAAGTATGAGTTTCTAGTTTCTGAACCTTGGTTTAATCCATGTTCCACCTAAGAGTTTTCTCTAGCTCATGCAAAAATCAGCTGGCATGGTACGTGAACATTCGTGTCTACCAGAGAACATCTACGACTTAAGGAGCAACCAAGATTTCCAAATCTCTATTTGGCGTGCCTTCGACAGTTAACATGGACTAATCTTTTATAAATCATCTGAAAGAGTGACTGACATATGCAAAGTTCCAAGCCACTGAAATCAGCTCACAGCATCACTCACATCTTCCGTAGTTATAGTACATAGAAAAGCTAAATCAACACCCCCTCCACAGAAAAGCTGTATTATGCCCTTATAATACTGCTTCCAACTCCCATTTTCAACCACATCTCTTGGGTGCAACAAGTAGAACCCAAGTGACCAAACAACAATCTCATGACCCAAGCTTGTAGGCAGTCAATGTTATCAATGCAAAGACCCAAGCCTCACTTTCATTACTTGCTAGCCACTCTTTCGTGATTCCTGAATTACTCTTCACAAGCAAGCATGCACCAGAGATCAAACAACCAAATGTCTCATTCTTAATAATTAGCCATTACATGCAGGTGTTCAGGCCAGGTGTCAAAAGCCTGACATTAATGTAAGAAGTTTCTGGGAGGAGGCATTTCTCTTTAACTGTGAGCACATGCCTATCCAGAAATGTGTTTTACCAAAGAAAAACTCTGTTAAAGAGAAATTACCGTTATTTTTGAAAAATCATTAATTCAATTAGCAAACTTACATACCAACACAAACATACAGACAGAGCAGATGGAGATCAAAAGCCAGACTTTATACTTTGCTGCTCAAGGAGGGAGGAAAAAACAGACAGATTGAGTTGAGATACCACAAACTATCTCTCAGCAAAGTAATTCCTTAGGGGAGAAACTCCGATCTTTTTTCTTTATACTAAAAAAAGAACAAGAAAAAAGAAACTTGGATTTCTTCTTTCCTTCCATTTCTTTCCAGATACCTAGAAACAACACAATATAGCCGACCCCAACTTGGCCTAGTTGTTGTGGTACCTAGAAACAAAGCAATATAATCATTAAATCGAGCTTCCTGGTCAAATGCCTTGTTCTTTATTGTATCTAGCATCTCAGCAGTTCGTCAGGTAAATGTTACAAGTTACACTCAATTGACTCACTACAGTTTATTACCAAAAGTGTTGTGTTCAAAATCAATATCTTTCAGTGTAATGTGATTTGGTACAGCTTACACCTAAGTTTATTGACTTTGCAAGTGTATATTGTTCGGAATATTGATTCTGTTACTTACTCTCATGGGGTTTATTTTGTCTTTGACATACTTTATTTATATCCTATCTTCCCCTGTGCGGTATGTCTTATTTACCAATAAAGATGCCATAAAGTATATCCTAAATTCCAGCTGATGAGGAAGTAAAGAAATACTTCAAGCTTTACATGCCACTTTCCACTGTATAAACAGCTATCGCAAAATTGCAACTTAAAAGCCATTTTTGCAGAAACATCTCAATTGGATGTGGGAACTGTCCTCTTTTTATCAGTTAGAATGTGTGAACCGTCTAGAAATGTAAAAATTGGAATAAAAGCTTCAATACCTCTGCAAGGATAAGGTTGATTTGATTGTCATATGCTGTGAGGAGATTCAAGGCATCTGAGCATGATGGAGAATCCATGATAAGGTCGTCTTCTTTTTCGTTGACTAAATTAATGTTGCATTCTTCAAAGCGCTGTTGAAGAACTTGACATTCATGTAGCAGCTTCTGCCAAGATGTCCTTGCTTGTTCATTAGCTTGCCTCTCTTGCTCATAAAGTTTCTGCATATGCAAGAAAACTTTCAGTAACAAAAATACAATAAGAGACGAGGATCCGCAGAGTTTGTTAATACATGAATCAAGTTAATCCTTGAAACCAAAAGAGATCTCCACAGTAGAGCAAATATACTGATACGGTTTCATAGTTGTTCCTCTACTGCTACACTACCCTTTTCTTTCACTCTTCTCAGAAAGTTCAATATTGTAGATAATTTAACAGATGAGAATGGAAGAAATTGCGCCAGGATGTGTTTTATATAGCGTATATTCACAGATTAAATGAACCATAATCAACAGAGAGCAAGAGAGACTGAAGAGCAGTTCACACCATGACAAAGTTACAAGTTCTTGAAGAAAGGACAAACAGAGATGAAAATTAGTCTTGGGAGGGAACTTAATGTAGACTCAGAAATGACATCGCAAGCTATACCTCAGCCTCCAATTTTCCTTTAAGCGAATGATCTAGCTGCTGCTTCAAATCTGCTTGTGAGCCTCGAAGAGATTTTATTTCTTTAATGAGAACTTTAACATCAGCTTTTGATTTTACTTCAAGTTCTTGATGTCGTTTCTGCAACTCATCAAGCTTCCCTTTTGTAGCATCCAACTCCTGCAAGATTCCGTCTTTCTCCTGACTGGCATTGTCTTCCATGGAAGCATTGCCCAGTTTAACCTGATGAAGTTTGACACATATATAGTCCGAATTAACATTCTATCTGAGTGACGGGAAAATCATCACAAACTAGAGGATAATCAAGTGAAATGGTGGCAAAACCTTGTGTGAGTTCAGTTTCAGTTCCATTTCAAATGACTTCCGCCGAAGCTCTTCCATATCCCACTGCATCTGGGTGACCCTTTCCCTTTCAATCAAGATTGCTTGCTCAAGGTTTTCTTTGCTTTTCTGTTTAGTAGCCTCAAGCTCCACTTCCAAATCCTTAACCTGATATAACCATTGTCTCAGAACAATAGAGCATCATAGGATAATCATTTATGAGCTCTAAAGTTAGGGCTTTTCAGAACAGCTATTTTCTCACAAACAAAATGGTTTATGCCAGATTAAGATGTCACCTACATTCTCCTTTTTAATATCAGTGGTGTTCGGGCAACCTTGCACGCAGCCGACACAATCTACTGGTGGCCCATGGCTGCTACTTCCTCCAACACAAATATTGGGTAACTTGCCAGCCAAGGGTTAGGCAAATGGAAAGAATTCATATAATGTTGCCTCTGCTGGAATGGGACCTTGGTTCCCAAGGTTGTCACTACAGCTCTTAGACCGCTAAGGCATACCTCCCTGAGGCGTATATTCTCATTAAAGATTAGCATGACATTATTTCAGATTAATTCTTCTTTCAGCTATTACCTGAAGTTACTTATCAAAAAAAAAAAAAAAAGCTATTAACTGAAGTAAATCAAAATCAGCAGCAAGTAGATATGAAACTTTTTCTCTTTTTCTCTTTTTCTTTTTTAAAGAAAAAGGGCTTTGCAAGAAGATATAAAACTTGCCAGATACATAAGTTTCTTTCTTTAATGCACAACTCTTCACCTTCTTCACATATATACTAAGAAAGGTATGGTTTGATCAGTATTCCAATGGAACCAACCAGGAGGGTTTGCCTGGCTATCTGATCCTAAAGATGTCTAAGAAAGAATATAGGCAAAATCTTGCTTAAATGATGACTTGTGAGCTTTCTCAATTGTGATCTCTTACAGTAAGTCGGAATTATAGACTTCAGCACAAGCACTCAGGTTCCAAATTTGTTCAATGTTTTAGCATTCTCCTTTACTAAAACTGAATTAATGAAGCAAATACACACTCTTTTCTCCTGCTTATATCAACTCATACCTCCCTATGGCAGAGCACTTCATCTTTCATCTCTTTAGTTCTCTCAGGTTGGGTTCATGTGTTAAAGATATCGCAATATATTCCTTGTCTCTGCATCAATCAGGGACAGCTTTTAAAAGGCTTTTTAACAGCCATATGAAAATAAACCCATCATTGGTAATTTATACTATTATTCTGGGAGGAACACTTTCTCAGCATCATATGGGAATTTAAGGTCATTAACCCATGATCCAAGAAGTTTAAGATCTCTCTGGTTGCTAAGCTCCGTACTCTATTCATCATGCATGGTCATCAGTAGCATTGTCAAAAAGAAATACATAAGACACGTTTATTCTCGAAAAGCCTCAGTAGCACCCCAACACAAAGGTTATATATTTTTTATGGTAGAAGATAGATTTCATCCAATCTCCTTTTAGGGAACATGCATAATGATTAGAGTACGGTGTCTTATAATCATGCATGATGATTGTAACTTGGGATGTTGCTATTTATTTCCCTCAGCTTTGTGCTAGCTTATGAATAGACTTCTTTTTCAGAAAAAAATATAAAAGCCAATACCTTAGTTGTGAGGTAGTCTTTCACAGCAATTTCCTGATTTAATCTTGAGATAAGATCCTCCATGTCAGTTTTTGCTGTTATCAGTCTCCTTTGCATGGTTTTAAGTACTCTATTCATTTTTTGGCGCTGATCTGAAGGAAGTAATAATTGCACATCACTTGGCAGCATTAAGTCAGTGTTCTCAACGTTTCCTGACGTCTCAGCCGCTCTGGGGATGTTGATCGGTCCTTGTCCGTAGGAATTCGGTATTGCTGAACCTGACAATTCACTGCCTCTTTGGGAACTCATATCGCTTCCTATGCTCTCAGCTGATAACTTCCTAGCATGATGGATAACTTTGGCATTCTCCCGCTCCGAAGAAAGTCCACTCATACCATCAGTAGTAACAGCTAGATCAGACAATCTGGAAGCATTTCCATTGGCTTTATTGTTCTCTTCAAATTTATTAATCTCTCTACTGTGCACCCTATGTCTAGGATAATTTCCAAGTTGTTCTAGAATAGCCTGACCCATGAACAAGCCTTCATCAATGTTGGACATTCCATATTTCACAAACTTATCTATTGGACTTGTCACATCCTCATCCAACGAGAGATCATCTGTCCCAAAATCAGAGTTATTATCCCTTCCAAGGCGTGGTGTGCCAACATCAGATATCTCATAAGCTGTGTCACTACCATAATCTGATGTGAGCGATGAACTCGCAGTTATTGCAGACAAGCTTGCATTAGGATGAACTTGAAGGGAAGAAAGAGAACTATTCACAAAAGGATTTGATTCTGAATCATGTTGGTTTTCATCTTGGAAAGCTGAAAGGATTATAGCAATAAATGTTACCAATTAGACATGACACAAAGATAATTTAGATACAAAGCAAAATCAATTGAGCCACAAGTCCAATCTTTTTCAGAGAAATGAATTTTAACGGACAATAGTATAGTAGCAACAGACATACAAGATCTAGCAGCAGCTTCCAGTTCGAGAAAAGATGCCACTGGAGCACTTCTAGAAACATCAATATCAGATAGTAATTTGGTCATCCACTCCTCCAAGGAGGATCGTCTCTGGAAACCATACAAGTATATGAAAAATTAGAATATCATATAGAACTACAGCTGCAATTTCACTTGGAATGAAATCTTTTGTAGTTACCCAACATTTCATTGACATTTTTAATATTTAATGCTGCTAATTAACTTCCAATAGTTGTGTGCAATTTATGTTTCACTAGATAAACAAAGCCATTTGATATAAGAATAATGAAGAGAAAAAGTCTTCAAATTCCACAAAATTAAAAACTAAACATACAGAAGTTTGGCTCTAATTTAAAGATGTATGAGATTCTCCCCCAAATTAAAGTTTTAGCTACAAAAAAACGACAAATGACAACAATTTCATCACACATTGTATACGAGGAAACTAGCCAGTACAATGCTTACCTCTTCTAGTAGGGTTCTAGTTTTTATCCGCAAGAAACCCTTGGGTGGGGCAGGAGGAATATTCTTCCTTGGAAACATTCTTTTCAGCTGTGACACAGAATCAACCACACTATTAAATACCCTGAGTTTATCTAAATACTCATAAGAGATAACTGGTCTACTTTGATCGTGGTCCAAGAAATTTCACAAGTCCTCTTAACCTAAAAATTTAGAAAAAGAAAAAGCATCTGAAAAGAGCGTCCGCAAACTTACAGCAGCTAGAAACTTCAAGAAATCATTGAACCTTCTTAATACGACTCGGGTAGTTGTATTCCCTTCTGGTGATTGTAAGCCAACCAAAACCCTATAAAACTGCCCTTTAAGAATGTCAAATTTAAACCTCTATAAATGCTAACACATAAGAACTGAATCTTGACAAGGGGAAAAAAATTGCAACAGGTTATAAGTTGACCTTGCCTGGATTCAGGTCCAAGTTTGAGATGTAAAAATGAGTTCAACATGAGTATTTCAAAATTCAATTCTAGTTAGCTATTAATGATAAGTGTTGAAGTGTGTGACAATCTCATCTAAAAGCTTGAGCTGTTAGAGAGAACACACTTTTATTTACTTAATTATGTCTTCAACACGCCCCATCACGTGCGGGCTTGATTCTTTTTGATGAGCCAAACACGTTCTTTTTTTATATTGATTGGCGGTGAGACTCGAACTCAGGACCTCTGCCTGCTCCAATACCAAATACCATGTTGAAGTGTGACCATCTCATCTAAAAGCTTAAACTGTTATAGAGAACACACTTTTATTTACTTAATTATGTCTTCAACAATAAGAAATAACTAGAGAAATGCCAGTTTCTCACAAGAAAACTTAACAGAAATAAAGAAAAGAAAAGAAACAACAACAACAAACCCAGTATAATCCCACAAGTGGGGTCTGGGAAGGGTAAGCGTATGTAGACCTTACCCCTCAGAATCATCATCATCATCATCATCATCATCATAAGAACAAAGAAATGCCAGTTTCTCACAAGAAAACTTACAAGAAATAAAGAAAAAAAAGAAACAACAACAACAACAAACCCAGTATAATCCCACAAGTGGGGTCTGGGAAGGGTAAAGTGTATGTAGACCTTACCCCTAAGAAGAAGAAGAAGAAGAGGAGAGGAAGAAGAAGAGGAAGAGAGTGAAACTTAATTAACTCCTTTTGTAGCTGAAAATGATTTAACCTTTTTGCACTTTGTTAGTACTTTTTCCGGTTTATAAAATTTTACCTACACATGTCGAGAACTCTATCATACATTCAATTACTCATCTTGTCAAATTAGAATTTCCTTAGCTAGAGGCAGGGAGAAACTCATCCCAGCACCACCTGCTTCTTCAAAGTTTGAAAATCCATGGAGAATCTCTAGTCTCATCATAAGCAGAAAATGACGATAAGAGAAATAATGCCCAAACTTTCTATTTTAATTCTAAATTACAGTAATTTGTTAAAATAAGATAGAATTGTGATACATAACCATTCCCATAATAAGATTCAGAATCAGCTAATCACAATAAATAAGGGTGAAAAAGACATGGGAAGACGACAAAAAGCTCATTATAAAAATTGTGAAGATCCTCAAACCTGGGAACTGACATATGCTAGGACCAACAGACCCAAGAGCACTACTGAATGATAGGTTCAAAGTAAAGTGGGGACACTTCATAGATGAATCTGCAGATCATTCATAACGAAATGCAGAAGAAATCAAGCTGCAGATTGCTACTCATGCTTAACTTAGGGGTTACTGATTTGACTAAGCACAAACATTAGGAAAGAAGGATTGGATGAGTAACAACCATATGTCGGGTAAGCTATTTGACTGCTGCAATATAACTCTAGGTTGGGGCAAATTGAGATCTCTTGGGTAACTTTTGAGGGCTTCATTTGGACACCAAAAGGCAAAATGATTAATCATTGGCAAGTTGTATGGATGAAATAAGATGACATGATCCTGCACCCAAGGAAGTGAAGTGGGCGAAAACCTTGGAGATCAGTGTTCGAATCCAGCACAGAATAAAAACGTTAGGTAACTTCTTCACATCTGTTTAAGGCTTGGTGGATAGAGTTACCCCATACCTGTGTTGGTGGGACGTCAGAAAAATCGAGGTGCGCACAAGACCCGGAGACCACCGTTTTCAAAAAGAATAATAAGGTGAAACAATCATTCTGCTTAGGGCAATCCAATAAGTTCTTCGAGTGAAACATTACACATTCCATCTTCTAAAACCAACACTTTCTCATGTTATTTAATATAGAATAATTTCTATATGGCTATTATGAATCTGCATCCCTTGGGAGTAATAAACCTGTTAGATTTTTTTTTTCTTTTTTTTTTTTTGATAAAGGTTAAAGAATAGACCTGTTAATTTTTTTTAAGCAAAGAGATCCTTTTTTGCACTATTGTTAGCTCAATACCAATTAAGAACCCCCCAGGAACTCCAAGAATTCCTGTTATACATTTGTTCTGACGCTCAACTCTTTTTTCCAGATTCATGAATGTTGAATCAACTGAACACATTTCTACATCTGTTCCACTTCTGAAAGATGCAGTGTTATATCACCTTACCTCGGATGCAGACAGGGAAAGTTATGGACACACAAGGCCTTCATGTAGATAAGAAACACCGATCAATTGACAATTAAGCACATAAAAAACCTTAAAGTACTTCAGTTTACCAAAGTATACACATCCACAATCACATACTAAATCTTCATAAGCTAACAATAAAGGTACATATAATATTAGATACTTAACCTGAAATAAATCAACCGAAGACTAAAGGTATGGTTTAATTTTCTTTTAATAAATTGTATGGTTTAATTATTGTTCTGTTATCCATTTAAGTAACTTAAGTTGTTAATACATGAACTGTTGGCCAAGCTTTAGGCAGATGTCAGATAGGAAAGTTTAGAGGGGGACCTAGACAAAGTTCTAAGAAACACTACCGGAAGGATAGATGAAACAAGGTAAGAAAGGAAACGGGTAAAATGAAGGTTGGGAGTAAAATCGCATCAAGAACTCAAGGGGATTGAGAGTGAAGCGAAATGATCCAAAAACAGTTGGAGAAGCAACCCCCAAAAAAAGCTCAAAGGGTGGAAGTTCTTTGTTTGTTTGAGTTGTCTTCATCATCCAAGATCACTGTAAGAATCCTATTTGGTACTAAAGTTAACTATGCAAACCCCCTTAGGTGCATCTTAATATATCATACTTGTGCACTGAGAGAAAGAATACAACTATTTTAATGTATAGATGATACCATCTAGTGTCACACTTACATTGCGACCGGTGTTTGATAAGAATCTTTTAAGTTTGGACAAGATAGTATGACAGGATAAAGATAGGTGGAGGATTAAGAGAATTCCCCAGTTTTAGAAAATCTTTAGTTTGTCCATAAAGACATGATTGAATTGTGGAATGAGATGGGCCCAAATGGAGTGGAATGGACATAGAGGATTCATATACCCCAACTGGCATGCGATTGACGTGTATTATTTCTTGTACGAGATAAAAAGGATATAAAAGGCTATAGCTAAAATGAAAAGTATAACATCAAATTCGGATGATACAGGTTTTACTCCCTCCAACCCAATTCAGTTGGTCTTATCACAAGGAGAGTTACAAGTTTTAGATACTAATGCAATGCTGCGATAATTTTGAAAATAATAGCAAGAGTTCTTTCTTTCCTAGGAATATAGAACCATTTTATAGTGCAATGCAAGCAGGATTACATCACAATATCACATTAGTTGATAATTCAATCTGTCCCTACCAACCCAACATAGAAAGTAAAATTAGATGCATTAAGTGCAGCCATCCCTAAAGTGTGGGGAATCTGTGACGAAAAAATAAATGCTCAAATATCATAACTTCGCAAAATGCTGAATAGCCGAAAAGCATAAAAGAAGTGAGATACATAGTGGTTTTAAGCCCAAACTGTATGCTCTAGTGAAGCATGGGGAAATGAGTGTGTTCTAAAACTAGTCTGGGGTGCAGGGGATGATGCCGGGTTTGGTGAAGGATGCACTGCATAGCTAGGTCACTAGAATAAGGAATAGAAGATGCATGGAATGGGCGTTGCCCTGCTAGCCATCATGTGAGTCTTGTGGGAAAGAGAGAAATAGGAGAGCTATTGAGGGGTTAGAAAACGATTTTGGACATTTGGGGAATAACCTCTTATTCTTAGTTAAGTTTGTGCACCCATGAAGTTCCTGTTTGTATAGAAGATTGGTGAAAATTGTAGAGAACCATATTGTTTTGTAGGTTCTCTACCTTTTTGTATACAGCTTGTATGCACAAGTTTCTCCCACATTAATAAAATTAATTTACCTTTAACAATAATGATGACAAAATAAAATAGATGTGTAACGTAAGAAAAAAAATTAACTATAAACTATAAAAATAATTTGGAGAATGCAACTATAAAAACCGACTACAAAGAAGTGAAATGTATAGAGTAAAAACCATCTGAATCTTTTTTTTTTTCAATTAAAGCATTTTGATCAAGTTTAATACCAATTTAAATTTTTGAATCACATGCAAAGATTCAGTTTTAACGTTTTAATTCAATTTTACTAACTAGTTTTATAATAACTAAACATAATTTTTCTGATAAGCATAATAAATAACATATGTGTTCACACCATTCCTTTTTAACAATTAATATATCCACATAACAACTATAGTATCTAGAGCTACCCTTTTTTTTTCTTTTTTTTTTTGGGGGGGGGGTAGGGGGGGGTAGGGGGGTCCCTTTTAAGACAAAGTCAATGGTTGCTAAAGCATATGCTAGGTCTTAACCCCTTAGGGCCTGAACTAAAATGCCGCCGACACTTGGTGAAGCATTGAGCCAGCGTTGCACTAAGTTTTAGGGCTTAAATGTGCTTTTTAACAAGAACAATTCGTCAAAGCGTCTCGATGGTCATAGGAATTCTACCAGAAGATCAAGAGCATCTTCAGTTTACAAACACAGATTATGAAATCATTAGCGCTATGTATTTAGCATTTCATATCTTTAATAATCCTTATTCAACTATTTGTTTGAGATATACTAGTATCTATAGCATAATGAAACGAACATTTAACTACATGGATAAAAAGGCTGATTACCACTACGGGATCTGAATTTGTTGATTTTGCCAGGACAACCCACGAAGGAATTGTAACACAGTAGCTCCAGCCCGTGTGAGGATCATGAGGCCAAACAGTTTCTCTTCCAGCCTGGATAGCACGTTTAGCATATGTAAGTACTTCCCAGGAAAAAACAAAATAATATCTGACAGCAAGTCTGGAAGGTAGATCTATTTTAAAAAAAGGAATTGTGCACTGGTACAAGTTAAATGGATTCTGTGCTCCGTCCCTTAGAAAGTGACATTTGGCAAGGGAAATAATGTGGAGAAGATTAACCACAGCTGTATCCTCAATTAGGTCATAAAGATATACTAGTTACCAAACAAAAAAAGGAAGACTTGGTACAAGGCTATAAGCAATCCTTATTCCATTCAAATTCTACAACCCTGTATACAAGTTAGAAACTAGTTGAATCTTGGAAGAATGCCTTGTTTCAAAGACCAGAAATGCCTAATATGATGAATGCTATATGTAAGCTTCTCATATACCACACAAGCAAAGTTAACAAAGAAGGTTATTAAATCAAACTGCCAAGTGGAGAACAGTGATGATATAAACAACCATATTCAGTGTTTTGTCTCACGAAAAAGGAAAAAAAGAAGAAGCTAATTCAGCGTCATCAAGTATGAAGTATGTATCAGTAGTCACAACAATAAGACAATCCACTTGCTCTTAGCATTTTAGATTATCAAAGTCAAGCTAATATCAAAAACTGGCACCAAAGAAGTCATCCAACTTTTTCTGACCTAAGATATTTTCTGAACATGCATAAATATCTTCTTTTTTTTTTTTAAATTAGGTAGCTAGGTATATACACACATAAATAATTGAATTATGATCGTGAGTTCTGATTACATGCTTCTTTATCAGAAGAAAAGACAGTCCTGATTACATGCTTCACCACTCATCCCGATCCATTATGCATCGTGGACCATAAAAAAGTCAACGGACAGTTCTAACTTAAAATTACCGACAACAGGGCAGCAAAAGATAAGCAACAAGCACCAGGAGGTCAACTATGACTACCTATCAATCTAATCAAGGATGCTCGGTTCTATGCACTAGATAATAGTTTGAATGGACATAATATTCACCGTGAAACTTATGAAGACTGGCCAAATTATGAATAGGTATATCTAAGTTTTATTGTTACGGCTTACTTAGATTCTAATGTGTTTTCTGCAAAGGCAAAGAAGCAATTGTGCTGACAAATGAACACCTGACAAATGAACACCTGCCCCTTCCATAAGAAAAAGCCAATATTTGATTTCTCAAAAAAAAATGTTTCGTCTTTAGTCTCACATTTAGTATCGTACAAGTTATGGCCTATTGATATCAAGCTATGTTAATAGGCACGGCTACAGGTATACACCCAATACAGCTGTGTGCAAATATCCAAATGAATGTACATGTAATATTTCCTAATTTCTAGTGTGTATTGAACAATGTGCACGAGGTAGCCACCACCGATGTCACACCTAACATAAGGCAAATGAAGGATCCCAGTAATATATCTGCCAAGCAATTCACTTATATCCAATGACTTGAAAATCTCTATGTATAGTGTGTGCTTACACTCAAATCTCCCAACAAGATCCGCCTTACTATGTTGATCAATCAGCTAGGAGACAAACAGACAGCTAAACCAACATAGTGGCTAAATTCACAGGTCTTTCCTAATAAAGCTGATGTATTTCCTTCAAAGAACTGATAAGAAGTCTAACTCTACTGTATCCAATCCCAATTTAACACTTCCGCACTAAATTCAGCATGATCAAACAATACCCACAAAAATTCCGTACAGACTATTCACTATCAGTTTATCCAATGATTCCAAATAGATCAATAAACTACCTTAAGTAGATCCATCAATTAAAAGGGGAAATGGAAAAGAAAAAGACTGACCCATAGTTTGGGAGGGGGGCTCCAATCCATACCCAATGGCAAAGGCGAAGTCCCATCATGTCTATGCTTCGGCGGACTCTGTCTTTGCCTCTGCATAGCTCAATCACAAATCAAATCAAAAGCCTCTTTCTCTGTTTAGACCAAAAATCAATCAGTTGGTGGGCGACCCGGGAAAATTAGATATTATGTTTCTCTCCCAAGAGAGAGAGAAATAACGAAGAAGAAGAATAGTGGGAAGTGGAAAGTCTGGAAAAGCAACAATCTTTGTTTCTTGTGTATGTAAAAGTGTAATTGATCTCTGAGCTTCTTAACCCGGCGCATGATAACAAAATAGAGTTAAACGTGGCTGAAATGTGACTTGTTTCGATTCCTTTCTTCTCCGCCCAGGGACAAGCGCGTGTGCCACGCGGAAGATTGCCTCGTACCAAATTTACTTTTTTAACAAGAACAAAGACAAAATTTTATATTATTCACCTAATTAACAAAACCTAGTCGAGGTTTTAAGGCGAGGAAATTCACTCTCACCGTAATTGTATGGTATGTATATATACATATATAATTAATTTATATCGGCTACGAAAAACAATAAATCTGATCAACTATTTGGATAAAAATCTTTTGGTATGAGTAAAGGTTAATGAGTTCACTCTTTTGTATCGAACGGAAGCTCTAGGGAACATTTATGGAATAAAATTTAGTAGAGGTCCAAAGTTCACTTCTTTCTTATTTAATTTGTTGACGAGCCTTTCATTTTTCGGAAAAGGGCTATATATGTCCCTCTACTATCGTATATTAGTTATTTATACCTTCTGTTATACTATTCGATGTTTCTTACCCCTGCCGTTAGCCTTTTTAACAAATCTACCCCTCCGATTAACAGACTCAGTCTGTGTGGACACATGGCACATTTTTAGATCCCCAGACCCTTTTTCTTTTCCCAACTCAGATCCATACCCGAAAACGTACTAAACCCATATATCAATAATAAGAAGCCGTCTTCTTTTCTTCTCAAAAATTAGGACTTAGACTCCATCTTTTAAGTAGGCCATACTTAGGGTAATTGCTTAGTTATTTGTACCTTTTATAGTACATTTATACGTATATCTGTTCCTTAGGAAGAATCTCTGTAAAATGAAATAAATTTCTGGAGATAAGTTTGTAACGCCTTGCTAATAATTTGATTTTACTTATCTTTGGGATGTAGAATTTCCATGGAGGCGTTGAGACATTCCACGTGAAGACTGTTGACACCACTGGAGCTGGTGATTCTTTTGTTGGTGCCCTTCTAACTAAGATAGTTGATGACCAATCCATTTTTTAGGTAATAATTAATCGGTAATACCTTTATAATTTCTTGCCCCAAGTTAAGGTTGTTTATAAACAAAGAATGGGGGTTAATTAATTTGTGGAAAAACATGTGTCAATAAGTGAGACACGTGTTATAAAAGCGCATTAGAATCTAAAACTTGAGATAAATTTGATAATTTTGTCAAAACAGATACTCAAAATGTGAATCAATGAAGATTAACTTGATACTTTTGTCACAATATATATTGATAATTCATCACATATGGAACTATGTCTCACATATAAATTTAAAAAATTAATAAACTCTTAGTTTATATTTTCGACATTTAGGAGTAAGTTTCATGTTCTAAGGATCAGATTGTTGCATTTCCTTTTAGCTTTGAATCAAATTAACAGTTCCTTTATTTGTGAATCAATTTTCTTAAGATTGACAAGCAAAAAATGATTTCAAAATGAAGGGGAATAAACAAGAGAAAGAAACATTCTCTATTTTTTCGTTTCATGAACAATTTTGTAAAACAAAAGAACCAACAGACATTCGAATAGGAGAACAGAGGAAAAGAAAAACAGTATAAATGAAAGAAGTAATTTTTTAGAAGAAAAGAAGACGGCTTCTTATTATTGATATATGGGTTTAGTACGTTTTCGGGTATGGATCTGGGTTGGGAAAATAAAAAGGGTCTGGGGATCTAAAAATGTGCCATGTGTCCACACAGACGGGGTCTGTTAATCGGAAGGTTAGATTTGTTAAAAAGGCTAACGGTAGGGGTAAGAAACATCGAATAGTATAACAGAGGGTATAAATAACTAATATCCGATAGTAGAGGGACATATATAGCCCTTTTTCGTTCATTTTTTATGTTTGTGCGAGTATTCTTCAGGTACACTAATAGTATTTGCCATACCGAAATGAGATTGATGACAACGAGTACTTAAAAATAAGGAAAAGGGTACTAATATAGCCTTCTACTTTGACAAATAGTATAGAGGAACTTTGCACCTAAGCAAGGGCTAGCAAAATCAACAAATAAAAATGGCGCCGAAATGAACAAACCATACCAAGCTCCACAAACGGACAATATACAGGCAAATTTGTTCGATGCTAACACAGGTAAATTCCTTCAAACTCAAACTCTGCGTTACAATTCAAAAAAAAGTCACACCCCCCCCCCCCCCAAAAAAAAATTCCCAAAATAGGCCCAATGGCCCAATGAACAACTTAAGCCCCACCAAGTCACAAGGGCTGACCCAACAACGTCAGAAACCCAGTACTCAGGCCCAGCCCAATACAAGCTCCAAAAGGAAAGCGGAGTTGGTTCCTGACGGCTCTACTGACCCCAATCATGAACCCCTCGTTCAAGGCGCTTTTAACCAACTTCCGAGACCCCCCTTCTCAATGATGGTGAAATACCCAATGGGGCCGGTCTCTTTTCCCCAAATGGGTACAACACCCAACCCACAACTGTCAGCCCAACTCCCCATCCAAATACACTCGCCTACACTCCCCCTACCAGTCCTTCTGAAACGACCTCTAATGGAGAAATACCTACAGTCGTCACCAACAATCAAGTGCTCTATCTGGTACCCCCCCCCCCCCCCCCCAATCTCCAGATGAAAAGACTCCAACCGTCAATTCTATTAGATCCCCAATTAATGACCAACCCACCCCTAGTTCCGTTTTCCAGTAACCCTTCCGCTGACCGAGATTTGACACTAAAGGGAGTTCTGATGGAACGCCAACCTCTTAAGATCACCCCCTTGTTACCCAAAGTACTAATGCAAAAAAAATACAAAAATGGAAAACGAAACGCCACCAACTATCATCACCTCCCTACCACCACCACCGGACCACCAACAGGCCTCTTGGTTGGAGGTTGCTCTTCAGGGCCATGGCCTTTATTACAATTTCACCCTGGGCAATCAAAAGGTGACCTTGATAATACAAAACCCAGCCCACCTAGCCAGAGTCACGGTGGAAGCATTGAGCAAAGCACTAGCAGCCTTTGGGCCTCTCCTATGGCAGTCGATGGTCAACAGAGACAACAAGTCACCATTGACCAACCCACAAGCACTCAGCAACCACATTCTACAAAGCTTCTAAACCCTTCCGTTCTTCCCAAATCTGACGAAGGAGGATCCAACAGTGGAGACGGTCTTCGTGATGATCAACCATCAAATTCAGCACAAACCATCAACTTCTGCTCCAAGAGAGAAGAGCACTTCGCCCCCTCTCCACAACATCAAAAAAGGGATCTCCAAAGCACTGGAAATCCTCAAAAAGAAGAATGTCTCGGAGGAAGAGGGAGCATCTTATGCCACACCACGAACGGACTCGCTCCTATTGGACTCAGTGAGAGCGATAGAGTTCAGCACAGAAACCAGCGAGGTAATAGTGGTGCTCTGCCCCAGAACGATGATCAAGTGTGGAATGAGTCTTGTCTCTACCCTAACCCATGGTCCAATCAAGCCCTTACTAAACCTAACCCCAGTACTGAGCCTCAAGAGGAAATTCCCCCCACCTTAAATGAAGTGTCCGCAAGGACCAAGGAACCCTCAAGAGGGACCTCACCAACCACCCCCAAATCCTCTGATGAATTACATCATATGGAATGTTAGGGGAGGAAACAATGCTGAGTTCAAGCGGCACTGTTTACAAATGGTGAAAATGCACAAGCCAGCCATGCTTGTCCTGCTTGAAACAAAAATGACAGACCACCAGAATCTGGTTCAAGAGCTCCAATTTGATATGATCATCCAGTCTCCAGCAGTAGGGCTCTCTGGGGGTATAGTGTTCATGTGGAAGGAAGAGTATGTGGCAGTTGATGAAGTGGCAACTACCCCCCAAGGCATCCATGCAATGGTTAAGGGAAGTCCCAACCACCCTCCATGGCTCTGCTCTGCTATTCACGCTAGTAATCTTTTAGCTAATAGGAAACTCCTATAGGAGAACCTAATCACAATATCAAAAAACCTTACAACCAACTGGTTTGTAGGAGGAGACTTCAATGAAGTCTTAAAGGCCAGGGATAAATTTGGGGGCAATCCCATAACCCTGAGTCACAGCAATTTGTTCTGGAACTGTATAAATGAGTGTAACCTTTTAGACCTAGGCTATAAAGGAAGTAAATACACTTGGAAAAATAAAAGGTACAGTAATAGAACCTCTCTAATCTTGGAAAGAATAGATAGGTGCTTCGCAAATGAAGGTTGGATTCAACAGTACCCTGAGGCAACTGTACTGCACCTACCTAGGACCCACTCAAACCACTGCCCTCTACAAATTAACTTGGTAGGGCCTCCAAAAAACAACCTATCAAAGCCCTTCAGGTTTGAGTCAATGTTAGCTAGACCCATCATTCCCTACCATCATCAATAGCGCTTTCTCAGATCATTCCAACCTCCTCCAATCCACTGATTCCTTCAAGACTCTGGTCACCAAGTGGAACCAAGAAATTTTTGGAAACATCTTCCACCAAAAGAGAAGAATCCTAACAAGAATTTCTGGAATCCAGAGATCTCCTAGCTACCAATTCAGTAGTTACCTGTTACACCTTGAAACAAATTTAACTGCTGAACTTAACCTAATCCTCAAAAATGAAGAGGATTTCTGGAAGCTTAAATCTAGGATAAACTGGCTTAATGAGGGTGATGCTAGCAAGATTCTTTCACACCTCCACCCTTAATGGAAGAATGAGGAACAGAATCCTCTCTCTTAAAGAGGAGAATGGAAACTGGCTTCATGACCAGAAGGATACTTATGAAGCAATATTGGGCTTCTTCACTGATCTATATACCACATCCCACACCAAAGCCCCTTGGGCTTTCACCAGCCATTCCACTATGTCACCCATTCTGTCTGAAAGCCAAAAAGCTTTTCTAGACAGACCTCTTGACCTGAGGAGATAAAAAGGGCAGTCTTCTCGCACAAACCCTTTAAATCTCCTGGCCCTGATGGACTCCACCCCTTCTTCTACCAAAAATATTGGGACATAGTAGGTGACTCTGTCACAAACTTCTGTCAAAAGTGTTTCTCT